CACAAGTTCTGCCAGCAAACCTGCTTCGGCATGGGCTCCTCCCCCCACAGGTCCGCAAAGTCTTGCCAGGAACCTGATCTGGCGCAGGCTTCCCATGGGGTCATAGCCTCCTTCTTTGGGGCATCCACCCACTCCGGCATGGGGTCCTCCACGGGCTACAGGTGGATATCTGCTCCACCATCGGCCTCCATGGGCTGCAGGGGGACAGCCTGCCTCACCATGGTCTTCACCACGGGCTGCAGGGGAATCTCTGCTCGGGCGCCTGGAGCCCCTCCTGCCCCTCCTTCTTCACTGACCTTGCTGTCTGCAGGGCTGTTTTCTCTCATGACCTCTCACGTCTCATCTCTCTCCGGCTACTGAGCCGCAGCCAGTTATTTCCTTCTTAAATATGTTATCATGGAGGCGCTTCCACTGTCGCTGATTGGCTTGGCCTTGGCCAGCGGCGGGTACAAGGAAAACTTCTAGCAGCTTCTCACAGAAGCCACCCCTGTAGCCCGGCCACTACCAAGACCTTGCCACACAAACCCAATACAGTATTGAAAATGGCTTTCCTTGGATTCCAGTTCTGAGCTTAAGTTTCTAAAACTTGCTCTCTTCAATAACCAAAATTTTCTGACCTATCCTTAGCCAAAATATGTGTTCTAGGAGCACTGGTTTTGGCATGATTGTTGTTGCAGAAGTTCAGCTGCTATTTCAACTACAGTTGAAAGATGGTATTTTTCTAAGCAAGCATTTTTTAAAGCCAGGAAACTAACTGCTTTACAGTATTGGGGCATTATTCTGTTCAGGTTTCCACAGCAGCAGTAAAGACCGGTTAGAAGTGTTAATAGTTTTCATTGTGGCTATGCCTGATTTGTTCCAGAGCTATTCTGCTAAATTATTTAAAAACCATAGATACATGTGAATGCTTAAGAGAAAACACGGCCATTGCAAACTAGCAAAACTAGAGGAAAAAATTGAGAAATGATGTAACATGGGAACAACCCTACTTCCTCAGGTTGAGAAGAATTTCTCGTATGTATTTTTTTGTATATATAACCTCTGGCAAGCACTAATGAAGGACATGTGGCTATTAGCTTCCAGAGAACAATTTATTTTGATGGTACTACACATAGTGCTGTCAGTTTGAACAATTTACAGTTCTGTTTTTGTTGATTTTCCCCCTTGCTGTTCTATTTAATCACTTAGTGTGGTTGTTTAATAGCTAAATATATCTGCTGTAGTGTCTGAAGCAACAGGGGTTTTTTGTACTTCTAGTTTACCCAGAATAGGGCTGCTCCAAACTATTTGAAAATGCCTTTGTAGTAGTGGCGAAGACATGATATAGGCTTCCAACACTTTTTGTACAAAATTTTTAAGCTTTTTTTTTTTTTTCCTTTCTCTACATAGGAAGATAGTACTGATGCCTCTGTGAGTTATTCTAAGAGGCTTTGAAAACAAGTGCTTTCATAAAATATAGGATATTCCTTCTGTAGTTCTTCCTTAGGTGAAGAACCTGAAGACTGTGTCACAGTTTATTAAATTTTTAAAATTTAAATTTTTAAAATGCTTACTATAAATGAAGTAATTTTTAAACATGCAGTGTTTGAAGTAGATGTCTATAAAATAAGGTCAGCATTTTTGACATTTATGGTTTTTAATTTATTTTTTATTCTGATTTTTTGTTTTAATCTAAAAGGTTGGAGATGCTTGTAAGATCCAATTTCATCTCCTGCAGTGTCAACTACATTGCTTGTGGTTGTATGTGGTCTTTCTTTTTTAGAATGGTTCCAAGAATGTTGTATACTTTCTTTTCAGCTAATATATCCATCAAGAAGAATTAGAAGATTCTTAACATCCTAAACAGATACCTTTTTTTTTCCAATTATTGTTGTAAAAGCGCTCTCCTAAATATAAAATAGAACAACATGTTTCTTCCATATTTAAGGAATTGAAAGCATATGGAGAAAGGGTGCCAGGAGTGGCATTTGTTTAACAGTTGGGGGAGGGAGGGGGGAGGGTTATTAGCAGGTTTCTAAATATGTTGTTTCTATGTGAATTGTTAGCTTGGTCCAGCTGTGTTTGGAGTTCTCAAATATTGAGATAGCATCTATAAACAACAACCAGCTCTAAAATCAATGCGTTATACTAGTAAGCGTTGTGCTGCTGACTGAAGGTGTTTATCTTTTGAAAATGCTTGAGGAAAAATAGATTTGTCTGTCTTTCTCCAGTGACAACCACCCTCATACCTGGAAAAAGCTGTATCTTGCTCATCATTGGCCAGTGACTGTATGTAAGGTGAGATTTTTGTGTTGTTTTCTCTTTCATCCTGACAAAGGTAGCCTTGGACAATAAATGAAAACAGAATGACTGAAGCCCATCAGGCATTTAATCTTGCTTATGCCCTTTTATCTTTCTAAAGGCTTTTGCTGATCTTGGTGCAACTTTTTCTACTTCTGCTGCACTCCAGAGTAGCAGTAAACAAGACAGGATTGTGGTGCATTACAGATCTAGTAGTCAACGTAGGACATAATGCACACTAAGCCTTAATTGCTTGTTATGTATTTTGTGATGTCTTGTTAGTTGTAAACTTCATCCTAGGCTTTCACCAGACTCTGTAAGGAGACTTGCCTGCCTTGTGTGATTGAAGACAGCAGATTAGTACTTGAACTGTTTGCTGTACAAGTTTTAGCTTTGTAATTTTGGCTCCAGTCAGGAAAAAGAGAGCCATAAAGCTGTTATGGCAGGTGTGTCTAAGCATTTCTGTGTTTGAGGGGTGAGACCCAAAAATGAACCCAAACTTCCAGCATACGTCTGTCAAAAGCACAGCTAAGAGGTGTACCACTTATGTCCCTTTTGCTATTAAATGCCTACTGCCATCTGATAAGTATAACATCTTTCCTATGCTGGAAATAGCTGTATGAGAAGAGGCCTTCGCGTAAGTTAAAAATATGCTATACTTCGAAATGGAAGATGTGATCAGATTTGCTGACACAAGGATGAAGAACCCCATGGATGATAGGAAAGCTTCAGTTTCAGGCAAATGTCTCTGGAGCCCAAAAGGTCCCGATTCTGGGAGACTTATGTTTATTTATTAAAATATTAGAGTCTTACTTTTTGTGCTTTTGGTACTTTTTTATTTCTCATTCCTATTTCTGGAAATACGTCTAAAAGCAGTAGCATCCAAATTCATGTACTGCCTAAATTTCTGAGGAAGAGCAGATGTACTTTACATTAGTTAAATGTGGAGGGGAAGTATCAATAACAACACTCAGATGTGCGTGACTAGCTGAGATCAAGGAGCAGCCACTGTTCTGGTTTTTGTTTGTTTGCCTGTTTTTGAGGAGGAATAAGGGCAGATCTGATGCAATTTGTGTTTGATTTTCTGGTGAGTAAACACCACTGTTACTGACTTCAAGCAGAGATGTTGGTGTTCAGGAGTTTGTAGTGCCTGGCACAGGTGGGCGTTCAGAATCAGGGGCAGTGCAAACCCTGGCTTACATGAATGAGATGCAAACAATTAAAAAATGAATAACACACACACACACACACACCCAAAACCAACAAACCAAAAAACCCCTACCAACCAGTTTTCCCACTGTATATTCATGCTGGCTACTACTCTTTAATTCCAGAGTAGCTCTAATGGTAAATTGACAAATAACCTTTATAGACTTACAGTGAAATTGTAATGAATAATTTAAGATATTAAGCATCAGAAAATGTAGTGTTTCTTACACTTTTTGATTCCTTATGATTTTCTATCGTAAGAAGTGGACATAAGCATTCCAAAGGAGTGAAGGAAAAGTGAAATTAAAAGCACAGTAGTGACTTTTTGCGCAGTTTCACATCACTGAGTCATATGAAGAAACAGAATCTCAACTGTACTCCCATAACAGCTTTCTTCTTGCTAACATCTGTGTTAGAGGAGTTCCCAAATTCAGCTGTGGGCTTTTTTTTTTTTGGTACATAGATTCTTCTGCATGTTCAGTGCATTTACATATGATTGCTGTGTTATTTCAGGCAGGAAATATTTTTAGTGTCATTCTTCAGTTTAAAACTGTTGACATTGAAATGAAAAATAGCTGGGTGAAGGAAACTGCAAAGCTCATTATATCATTTATGTAAAAAACTTTTGAGATTATACTGTGTGCAAGTACTTATTAAATGTTTATGCTTCCTATATAAAGGAACCTGATTATAGACTACTTTGCTACATACTGTGTTCTTGATACATGTGTGGATCACCTACATGTTTTGCATATCCATGTTCAAAAAAGCTTTTCAGGCTTTTGAAGGCCTGAAAGGCCTTTTTTAAAATTTAGTGGGCACAATTCAACATGCCAGAAATTTGAGAATATGTATCTCCTGGCTTTTCCTGTGCTTTAAACTGTATGTGTTCAGCTGGTGATTTTTAATACTGAGTGTGATCAGCACAATTAAACTGGAAAGTAAGTGTTTTGTAATTGTCTCTTCTAAACTAACCTATTAAAATAAAATAGTGGATGTCATGGATATAATAATAACAACCCCAGGAGTTAACTGCTGGCTGCTGCAGTGGAAGGGTAGAGGAGGAAGAGAGATGTTCTTCCTCATCATGTGATTAGAAATTCCAGTACCATATAATCGACCTAAAGTGACTAGATCTTCTACAAAGATATCCAAGCAACGTTCACAGACCTCAAGTGATTATGACTTTAATGTTCCCTTAATAAATTGTGCCTGTGGTGCAATTTATTGAACTTCATGTGGCTAATTCACGTCACACTTAAACTTTCTGGTCACAAATCTGTGTGAATCCTGCTAGGCAGAAATAGGTGCAACTCAAGGGCAAGAAGAAGGACTTTCCCCTTCCCTTTTTATGGAGTTGTGAAGATCTTTAAGAACTTAAAAAGAGAAATTATTGCAGCTTTTCCATCTTGGTGACTGCAAAAAGAGAAGATCTTCTATGGGTGTTGCCTTGTGAAACAGGGATAATCTGATGCAAGTTTGTAGACTATTCAGTTCCTTCTCTGTTGAGAATGGGAAGGATGATAAAGAAATGGGTACTAAACGTGCTGTGATCTGCCTTTTACTGCACATATGTGCTGATCAAATGGAAGAATCAAAGAAAGGAGAACAGAATAGGCTGGTGAACAGAACAGTGTGAATTCAAGTTTGAATGTAGTGTTAAGCAGCAGATGATTAGTTTTTTTTTTATATGAGATAAAAGGCTTTCTTAATTTTGGGCTTTGGCAATATTTTTATAGCAAAGGCTTAAAGGAAGAATAGAAACACTATGGTTTTTTGTAAAAATAGTAGTCACGTAATACAGAAAGTAAGTGACTAAGGTGAGGGCAGTACGCTATTGTGATCTAGCATTAGATCCAAAAGTTCCTTAGTTAAAGGAATATCTTTATTTGTTTGCATGTTAAGCCAGGTGTGTCAGTGAGTCCAGCTCTTCACATACGCTATTTTGGAACAAAAGTAAGTTTTCCTAAATGCCTGTGTAACTCATAAGATAACTCTTAATCTATGCCTCCAACTTCTCTGCGAATAAGGTCTGGTTTAGATGTTTCTGTGGATCTTTATCTTCTGTAAGGGTAAACATATGAAAGGTTTTAACTTACTAGGTCATGCTAGAGAGGCGTTCAACAAGACGTAAATTTGGGGGGTTTCCCTCCTCCCAAATTCTTTCAGGAACCTTATAAATTTGGTTTATTCATTGATTGATTTTTACCCCAGATGTGGGGGGAAGGAGGAAGGGGAATAATTATAGACTATTTGGGGGAGATAAACTGAAGAAGTGGACTCTCTCTATGGTTTCAAAAGTGAGGATTTTTCATAGCAGTGGTGATGCTTCATTACAAAATAACACTTAAAATTGATCTTAATTAAACAGATGGCCTACTTAAACAGGGTAGTGGAAAGGGAGAGCAAGATAAAATATTTCACTTCCCAGAAGCTGACTTTTTATTTAAACTTGGGATATCTGCACATGATCCAGAAGCACTGCCCTCTCCTACCTACCAAGGGATTTGTAACTTGGGCAGCTCTACAGGTAACGCTTCTGTGACAGTTTGATGGTGTTTCACTTTTTGTCATGTCAGAGGTGGAAGGAGCTCCCATGCTTCTAGCAGCCACTCTTTGTCCAATGTCTTGCTGTTACAAATAGGCTGATCTCTGCTGCAGCATTCCCTCTCAGCATGGTGGCTGCTGTAAAGGCTCTCTGGCACTTTTCTCAGTGTTATAGATCACATATGAGTAATTTGGATTGGTTTGATTATCAGATTGCTTTAAAACAGGAGAAAGCAGTGTTCCCTTTTCAAATTAATCTAGATACAGAAGGCTTTCTGGGGTCCAATGCCTACTTGAAAATACACATTTGTCACTGCTTCAAGTCAACCGTTGCCTGAGGTTGAATTAATCCTTCAGCAATCAGTATATGATAAACAGGAAGGCTGACAAGAAGCGTTTCTGCAGAAGCAGCAGGGGTACCCAGCTTCTCAGACTAGCGTCTGCTCATTTTATGATTTGATTTAAAATGAACATTGGAAAAATACTATGGCTAGAATTAACAAGGAGGATGAGTGAAGCTGGCCAAAGCATGCAAAGTGTGAACTAATGTGTTGTAGGTTGCATCGACCTCACAGTTCTGCCAGCGCACAGTGTAACACCAAGAGCCTGGTGAAATGCATAGACCAAACTGCTAAGAAGGTTAGTACCGTGATAGGGGAGAACTGATTCCAAATTTAAAATACTCTGGGCTTCCCTTTAGCGTGTCTGAGAATTGCAGTTAAAGAGTGGATAAGGAACACAATTGTGCTGTTCTTGTTACGACCCTCAGTTGAGCAAGCTGGTTAGCTGTCAGGTTGTTTTTTCAGGGGATGATGCATTAGCTGCTGGCTATTAATTTGCTGTATTTTGGGCTGGATAGCGGAACACTTCCAGCTCCGCAAAGCTTGTGTCATGACAGGAGCAATATTGTTTAGGCATTTGCAGTGTGTGTTTGTTGACAATATTCCTTTCAGGAAAAAAAAGCTGTTGCTGAGTTTAATTGCTTCTATTATTGGTGGCAAGAGAGGAGAGGAAGGAAATGGGCACAGAACAAGAAAGTCTTGCAGAGCTTGCAGCTTTGCTGCTGCTGGCCTGTGGCATGTGGAAGGCAATTAGTGAGATTATAGGCCTCTCTCTGCTCTTCTCCACACTCTGCTCTTGCTCTGGCATCGCATAAAAGGCATTGTAGCATAATTAAGACAGGATGCAGAGCCGAAAAGGAAAGCTATTATTGTGGAGAAAGAAAGTCTGAGGTGGTTGTTATTTAATAGTGAAAAGTGTTTACTAAAAAGATCTATAATTACTAAGCGGAATAATCAGGGAAAATACAGTTATGGTATTCTGTGATGCGTGAACATGGGGTTTTTTGGGTTTGTTCAGGAATATGTACCCTGCTCCAACCAATAGTTAACATGTAGGCTATTTCTCCTGCATTATCGAAAGTTTTGACCAGGGGCTCTTTTTTTATAAGAATGTATATATTCTTTCCCCTTCTCTCCATTCCCTTGTCTCTCAAGTAAAAATATTTAAAAAATATATTCTAACCATTTTACTCGGAATAAGCAACCTATTTAATCTCTTCTTTGTATTTTTCCCTTTTGATGCAATAGAACTATTCCTAGATGCTTAAAGATGGTTTTGTGCTTAGTTTATGTTGATGTTTTTTATTTTAGTGGCTCTGCACTCCTTAAAAAGGTCTGATGATGAGAAAATGAGCTGGGGTTGTTTAGTCTGGAGAAGAGGAGGCTGAGGGGAGACCTTATCGCCCTCTACAACTGCCTGAAAGGAGGCTGTAGCGAGGTGGGGGTCAGCCTCTTCTCCCTGGACGAGGGGAAATGGTCTGAAGTTGTGCCAGGGCAGGTTTAGGTTAGACATTAGGAAAAATGTTTTAAATGAAAGGGTTATTGGGTGCTGGAACAGGCTGCCCAGGGAAGTGGTCAAGTCCCCATCCCTGGAGGTATTTAAAAGAAGGATAGATGAGGAGCTTAGGGCCATGGTTTAGTGGTGGGATAGCAGTGTTATGGTAACAGTTGGACTTGATGATCTTAAAGGCTTTTTCCAACCTAAACAATTCTATGATTCTATGAAAAACACAGAGAGCTGCCACCTGGAATATGATAAATGCAGATTTAGCTCCATTCATTTAGCATGGATCAAGCTACTTTCTATTACGTCAGATCCTGGGTTTTGGCTTCTTTTTACACTGCCTGTTCAGGATGCCCTCCTGATATTAATTTGATCTGCTTCAAAATTTTAATGCCAGTTGGTCTCTGCTAAGTGGCACATGATCCATGTAGCAGTTACATCAAGTAACTGGAGCTCACCAGTTCCTGATTTGGGCAAGCAAAAGCTCTCATGTCTCGCTAAAGCCTTGGACCACCAGTGAATGAATTTTTTTTTTTTTCCCCCCCTCTCTAAACCGTTATTCCTGGACACATGTAACAAATGTATTCTGTATTTTTGTTTTCCACAGATGAGCACTAATGATTGTCAAGACCCTCCAAAGTACTGGACAATCCACGGACTGTGGTATGATCATAGAGTGTTTTTATTTCAGCCTGGAAAGGAAAAATCAAGTTTTGTAACCAGGATGTTTAGTACTTTTATTCTTTTTTCTTTTTTTTTTTTTTATTTTGAGGGCTTAATCTATCTGTTTTTATGATTCCTTGAAGCAAAAGCCTTCATTTTGTTGGGAATCAAAGCCCTGTGGTTTGATAGAAAACTGAAATACACTTCTGTATCTCGTGACTTGCAGAGCTCCTGAAATCCTCTTGCCACACGAGCATTTTATTTATACATCTGCTTGTAAGATCAGTAATGTTCTCAAACAGAACAAGAAGTATAGTTTCCCTTCCCTC